GTGAATTAGTATGATACGTGTAATTCACTAGGAAAAGAGTGTTGCTCTCCTAAGTCCTGAATCCTGACATTGTTCTAATCAACTGAAGATCATGTCATGGAGTGTTATTGTAAGAAAATTGTCATTGTGTTATAATGTTCTTTATATTACATATTGTTACAATGGCACTTTATATTTTGCATATGCTTTTTATATGCTCATAGGAACATAAATCCATTGCACTTCTCAGCAAACCTATCATGAAAACTGTTTTATTATGACTCCTTCGGTGATGTCACATATTTAGACGAGACATATTTAAATGACATGTGATATAACGTTTTTATTTGGTATATAAAATGCGAGAAACGATTGCAAACAATTGTTTTTTGGACGCTTGAGGGCACTGGTAGCATAACTGTATGAAAAGGCGTGAATCGCAATCCAAACATTACTCTAGATCCACAGCAGTTAGCAACAGCTTTCATGAGTTCACCTAGAAAGGGTTCCCATTTGTGGATAAGCAAACTATTAGCACTTACTGAGTTTTCTCACTCCATATAACTTTCCTGCCAACAACTAGCTGCATGTATGTGCATTGCTAGACCAGACCAACGCATCAAGTCACTTTGCAAAATATCAAGGTAATGGCCTTCTTGGGGGATAGACAACCAAAGATCATAAAGATGTCAATGCATTTTGATGTGTGTGTTGATTGTAATTTTGACATGTGTGTATGCAAGTCATTCAATGATCTCATAGAATGATATGTATGATATCCTCAAAATGCAGACACAACCGTTGTATGATATCCAAATACGAATTAGAGCCCCATAAAAGAATTTATGTCCTTAACTATCAGTTTTGATATTAACGTGAAGTTACAGAGGATAGTTTTAGACAATAAAAGTTACTGTGGTTAGGTTTAGGAAAAGAAACATGGTGACAATGTACCTTAGTTTAATTTAGTTTATTTATTTGTTTACAAATCATTTAAAATAGAAATACAATTCATAATCTCCAGCAAGATACATTTTTGTAAAATGGGTCTCCCCATTAGCTATCCGTAGCTTGTAAACCTTAAAATGACTCAAAGTTTACACAGTTCCAAACATGAGTCTCCAGGGGAAAGTCCCCTGTTTTGTGACCCATCTACCACCCCAACCTGCCTCCTTACAGAACTGCAGGGGACTGCTTCCTTATTTACTGCCATCAGCACATTGGTCCCATGATCGCCATCTTTAAAAATAGTTTGATATGTATGAATTTGGCTGCATTACTTTTTGTTGGAAAACGTACAAACAATTTATGAGAACAGTCTGTTTAATTTTCTGTTTGATGTTTGTTTAATAGATGTGACTAATGATTGTTTTGTGACTTTTCCTCAACCTGAGTGTTCATGATACCTTAATTAACGAAGGTTGATCGCCGTCATGTACCATCCGCCTGTCCACATAAATCAATGACCTGAAACAATGGCTGCATATGTCATGTATATATGTTCAAATCATGATACCTAGTGATTCAATTAAATGTGTATAACTGACTGAATCATTAGGTAATGTTAAGTGTTCACTGTAAATAACCAACCTGTTAACAGCTACAGCTTTGATCTGTAGGCTGATATTAAGTTGGAGACTATCAACCGTAGCCCTCCTTGCAGATTAGGTTCCTCCCCAATGTTAACTCCATGGCTACAGCCTTGGTCCTACTGTATTTGATTTAACAAAGCACCTATATGCAGTACAAGGTCTATTTACATTTCAAAATGTGCCCATGTAATGTCATCATGCGGAGCTTAACAGTGTTTTTAAACCCACATTCACTTCCATTGCATCTATCAGGCCAATGCATTAAGAATAATGAATTATGATTACTGTAAAGACACATCACACAAGTCAGTGCTCATGGCAATTACACACATTTTCTCCAGAAAAAGCTTAACTATTTTCAAATCCAAAGAGAGCATTTGTCTATTAAATTTCAATTTTGAATCTGAAAACACAAGAAAGCAGCTTCCAGTCAACACCAGTTTATACTGTTTAGCCAGGTGGCCTGACTAGAATGTTGCCTTTATATAACATCTAATTATTTATGGCTTTATGTCTCTGTTTTGTGAAACGGATCATAAACTTCCTTTAGCAGAGCATAAATTGAAGCAAAGTGAGTATAAATATGTAAAGATGGCATAAATGGATAAAAGTCAAATGAATTTCAGATGAGAATTTTAGTTGCAGTATTTGCCTGCTCTATAGGCTATTTTGACCCAAATATAGCACAGCTTATCGTTCTCTGCTTTTCTGTCAGGTCGTCATACATGTACATACATAGAGGTCCCTATCTTTACTACTGATACAAGTGTAATTTTGAACTCATGTAGCCTAGATATTTAAAGTTCTATACTTTGGATCCTAAATTAAATGAAAGAAATGTAAAGCTCTGGAGGCCTCTTATTAAGAGGAGCTTCTTAACATTGCTGCAGTACAAAACAGAGGTGACCACACATCTTCATCACATGTTATGGACTGACAAAAACAACAACAAAATGGTCATAATGGATGACATGTACAATTCAGGGAAGGTTTTTTTTTTTCTTTTCAGTAGTGCAAACAAGACTAAAGCTTGCACCTTTTATCCTCAGTGTCTATATTTGATACTAAAATTCACACTTTCACCTAATCTACCAGCAGCACAATTTCCCTCCTGCTACAACTTGTTTTTCCAAATTTCATTCAGAGTCTTATTATTTCAGCCCTATTTGTTTATTTTTAAATAGTCATTGTAGTTGATTTATGTTAAATATGTTGTGTTATGTTATGTTATGTGTTTTTACACTGGGAATATAGTGTAAAAACACAGAAAATTAATAAAAAGAAAATATAAAGTGGTGACTTATTATAAAGGTTGTTCTTACACTTTCTATAAATAAGATAAAGTCACTTAATAAAAGTCTGTTTCTTAATTTTCAGCAAAGGCATTTTGTACCTTTAAGTTTGCTCTTTAGACATGATATTCTTACTTCTACTATAATATTAATATGATCTCCCAGAATAAGTTATTCATTGTTGTTTTAGGTTGAACTCATGGGTACATGTTGTCATCAGCAAGTCTAACAGCTCTGGTGGTTCCCTCTGAAGACATGCTTCCTTATATTATGACAACATGAGTACTTGCTCAGCAGAGAGAGTGGAAGGCCCTAGGTTCACTTCATGGAAATTAGTCAGTGGTCATTTAATGAATTGGAAATGTATTTGGGACTACACATCACTAAAAGCACAGCACATAAACTAAAATGATGAGGACCATGAGGTGCCCTCTTTAGCCCTTTTTAAACAGGAATTGTGCAAATTTGCAGGAAAGCCCAATCAGTCTTCGTTCAGCATTGGCAGTATAAAAACTAAATCGGGGAGTCCGTCCTGGAAGAGGGATCCCTCCTCAGTTGCTCTTCCTGAGGTTTCTACCGTTTTTTTTTCCCCATTAAAGGAGGTTTTTTTGGGGAGTTTTTCCTTATCCACTGTGAGGGTCTTAAGGACAGAGGGATGTCGTATGCTGTAAAGCCCTGTGAGGCAAATTGTGATTTGTGATATTGGGCTTTATAAATAAAATTGAATTGAAAATTGAATTGAATTGAGTACAGCAAAATGCCGCCTGCCTACTTTTGTTTATACAGAATGTGCCTTTTTTAGGGGCAATGGGGGGCGTGAGCAAGTAACAAAACGTGTAGCTCAGCGTGTGATGTAGGCAGTGACGTGGGAGGGAAGCCGCGGCTAGTCAGTCCTTCGGCGAGTCTCTCGTAAATCGGCCCGCCCTTCACCGTTCCTGTCATCTGACGGTTAATGGCCTCTTTGTTTACGAGGACAAGGAGGGCGCGCAATTCTTTGTCTCCCCAGTTGCTCATCTTTACTGTAGTGTCTGTCAGGTTAGGGTTTCCCTCTTACTACTAGCTACTTGCTAATTCCTGCTATCAGCTGTTTCCTGTTTATCCACTGCCAGTGGGTGCGGTGTCATCAACAGCTCCTCCCACAAGTCATCAACAGCCCCTCCCGTGGCGGAAGGCCGCCTTGTTCTGTTTAAACCAAAAAGGTTCTGCCAGTATGACTACCCTACGCGGCGGAAAATTGAGCACCTCGAATCAACTCGCCAATCCGGCTCTGTGTGTCTAAACGCTGCAGCTTGCTGGCAAAACAGCCCAACATTCACAGAAAATCTGGCAGTGTAAAAGGGGCTTCTGTTTTAACTTGAGGCCTTGTCTTATAGAAGGATCTTGTGTAAAACTCGACCTTTAATAACTTTATTTTAGTTTATATTATGCTTATATGTTGCGTATTCTTTAATGAATTGAGCATAATCAAATTATCACAGGCTAACTGATGCACTGCAAACCTGGGGTGGGGAAGAATTACAAATTCAGAGGACAGCTTGGTTTCTGGGGCTGTGGACAAACTAATCATGTGTAGTCTATGAAGGAAACAGCACACACACACACACACACACACACACAGTATAAAGAGAGTGCTGGGGCCCACAACACAATTGTGCCTTGGGGTCCCTAATTGGTTAATCTGGTCCTGTTCAGCAGTGCTTGGATATACATAT